ATTCCGGTCTATTTTCGGTCCATGTCGTAACGTGCCTAGCTCCGAGTCGGCGCGATTATTTTTCTTAAACCTGGACAACCGTGTAACCTTCTGCAACCCGAAGTAAATTCAGCGGCACGTATATCCTTTTCTTCTATCTTCACCCGAAAAAAAACTGTGCCGACATAAATTATGAAAAAATAACACATCAAGAAAAAAAAATTAAAAGGTATATTACAGTTTTTATTAATACTCTCATTTCCGTAAGCGGCTTAAGTATTTTCTTTCTCCGCAAAACTAATTCTGTTTATAGAGATTCTGTTTAATGCGCTGGAAAAAATCTCTCAAATCCGAACCTTATTACGATTAAATAAAATAACGGAATAGAAAAGACTAAAAAGGCCGCAAAAAATGCACTAATGCATTGGCGGAAGGCTTTTCCGAATACAGAGACGGCCGTTTATTATTTTATTAACCGAATTACACCCTGAAACGTGATTTTGCACACAAACCTTCAGACACTCGACATCTTTTTTATCAATATTTCAACATTAAATATATCATTAAACTTCTTCATTCTCAAGAGAATAATGAAATCGTCGATTAATAAATTTAATTTCATGCACATAAAAATATCTTCACGTTTCTTGTTGAGTAATATTAACGTACGTATTTCGAAAGATAAAATGACATAACGGCAAAAAATTTATTAAATAATTTCAACGTAATGGAAAGATTATTTTGCAAAGTGATTTCAGTATGCTTTTCTACGATGGAAGGATTAAAATAACGCTGTTTCGCCGCGCGGATTCGAGGACCTGGTACTGCGAAATCGCGCGAAAACCATGCACGTGCATCGGAAATAGATCGCGGAGAGCATCGTGCTTATGTTTTTACATTTCTCGCCCTCTCATCGTTCCAGTCCTCCGGTTCATCCTCTCAACGCAGTTCTCTTTAACGCAGCGGCTATTTATAGGCGACGTGGCGACGCCCGGCACTGCCGGAGGTTCCACGAATGGATTCGCATTCGCGAGACCTATTCGACTTTTCTGCGTTTCCTTGTTTCTATCTCCCCCACGAAGTGGATACTAGGATGGACCCGGCACATCAGCCAGCGCAAACACCCGGCTCTCTCCTCCTCTCGAGCGGATTCATTTGTACGCGCGCGGAGAGATTATCTCTGTAACGAGAAACACTCCAGCTGCTGCTTACTGCTGCTGGCAAACTTCTTGCTTAAACACAGACACGGTCAGATTGTACGTATATTCGACGTATATTATTTAGGCGTCTCTCGGGAAACGTTTTGGGAAATGCGGTACCTAATATATGCAACATTGAAATATTAAAAGTGACAATCATAACGGAAGGCAATGAAAGACGCGTTTTAGGAATTTTAGCTAAATAAATTAAAATGAAGAAATAAATTTTAGAAGCTTTTCGGATTGAAATAAAAAAAACGATTGATTTTGTGAATGAAAAATTGTTATTTGTACACCCCTAATTAAGAATTGTACGACAGCGTTTTCTTCTCGCAAGATGAATTCTATATAATCGTACAATCGTCCCATAAAGTGAGTGAATTGGAATAATTCTGCATTCCCCGCTAATTGATTCCGTCCGCAAACGCGTCCTCGAGATGATGATGCCGGTGCTCGAAGCGTCCGGGTGAAAGCAAACGCTCGCGCAGACAATGAGTCGTCGTTGCCGAATGGAGCATTTATACGCTCGCAATTTATCCGGACGGCGCAGTTTGCGCAGGGGATCGATCTTCGAGTACAAAACACAAAGCCGCCTTGATTTCCCGGCAGAGACAATTCTGGCCGCGGCGCAAGAATCGAGGATCGATTGATCCTGGCAGATTGCGGAGGGTCGGTCGCGTGCGTCTCTCTGGTTTGAGGCTCTCCGCAAACACGTCCGTCTATGTTCTAGACGGAGGAGGGGAAGGAACGAATAGTGCATGTTCGCGTAATTAGTCCGTGCGAATCGCGACATGTTGAACAATCGCGAATAAAGAGCCGTTTGTTCGTGACTGTAGCTCGTATTCCTGCATCGTGGGCATTTAACGTTGAATTACTGTCTGTTCTGAATTACTGCATCCTTTCGGTACAAAGAAATTACACAATGGTCCGTATTCGTGTCACGAATTTGTTGCTGAATTTCATCTATCTAATTTCGATGCTACGAAGACATCGGTAATATTGCGAATGAATTAAGATCAGAAGACAATGTTAAAACGAAATTAAAATAGAGCAACGAATTTAACGTGAAATGCATGAAGTACAAAATCAATTCAAGTTAAATATGAGTGAATAGTTAAATACAGGCAAGCCTTTACGATTCTCTTCTGGTATTGATGAAAATGGACTGGACTTTGACAGAATCATGCTATTCTGTTCGGGTAAGAGGAATAACGGAAGACCGTATCTTTACCGAAGTGGCGGACTGAATCGATACCGCGGTCTGTTCGTTGCAATTTCACGAATCCTTTTATCGAGACAAAGTGCGAATTTCGAGGGATTTCGTTTGGCCAGTTCCAGTTACAATCGTTCTGCAGCTTTCCAGGAGCCCGCCCGGTGATTTCCGCCAGAAAGGAGGAAAACTCATCGGAGGCAGATTCGAGACGGATGAGAAACCATTTCAACGATCGTTCCCTTCGAATCGTTTTCTTTTGCCATCGCGTCTGCTTCTCGACATTGTCTTTATTATCGGTTTAAAGCCTTCCGCCCCTCCTCTCCGCGCTTGTCTTTCATCGATTTAAAGCACCGTCTGAGAGAGACTTTATTCGCGCATCCACGCTTTCTTCCACTAATTCCGCTTTGTGACATTTCCGAAATTACGTTGAAATTTATTGTTACGGGAGATAAAACAGGATACTTGCGTGTATAAGACGTTGTCGTTTTCCCGTCGACTGAATCCAGTCAAGTTTTTACGACTGTAAACGGAAATAAGGAGCTTATTTTCCGTCAGGGTTTATCTATCACGATATTTAATCACACCTGTGGCTAAAAGTCTCAATGTCGGCTTTATAATATTATCAACATAACGATAAGTGTCGATACCTTGAAACCAGATTAATCAATATCATTCTATCGCTCGGAAAATAGAAGAGCGGGCAAAAGAAATCGGATAAGAATTAAGAAATTCGATTCCCCGTATGACGAAGCTCACTGCTTCACTGACGAAGCTCACTTCTGATCTTAGATCCGATATTTTTTTTTCGTCTCGAGACCCAGGATGTTATTGGTTATTCCAGTTCCGAGGGAATACATTTGCGGGAAAAGTTACTGTTTTTGTAACCGGTATTCGTGAGATTTGCAGACGTGTTTGTTTTCCATAAATTCGCGATAGTATGCCCTGTGTGCCTCAGTCTCGATAAAACTTTGTTGCACTGTGCGAACGTCGAAGAATATTTCGGGCCACTATAATATTACCGATTTGTAATATTCAATGTAATCGATAATTAAGATCTCATTATTCTTACGCTATGTTCGGTTATGTATATCTATGTCACAATTTACGATATCAAATTTTAATGACAGATTTTTTATGGACATATATAAAATGAATTTATTATTAAAAAATTTTTACACAAAACCTTTCAGCTTTCATCAATATTAAATGTCTCAGCCATTTATTTTGAAATACAATTTCTGCTGAAATTAAATTTGAAATAAACAGAAAAATAAAGTAACTCTCGAGAATCAGTTTATTTTAATTTAGAGCTTTTTAGAGAGTCTTAATTCATAAAACTTCATTCTTTAATTATAAATTCCTAAAACTATGCTGTCTTTGAAATTCTCATAATGGAAAATCGAAATTGTTAAAAAGTCTATCATCAAAATCCAATATGTTGTCGTCGTATTAATAAATGCCGTGAACGAGTTCTCCACGTTCTCCGCGTTCTCCACCTAAACGGGGACGGCGTGTATGGAATGGGAACATCGCCGATGAGGCTCGGCGTGACGCATCGCTAAGTTAAAAAAAAAATAAGAAGGGTAGTAATGATAACAAAGCGCATGCCATGCGTTGTGGACTAATATCTAAGAACCCAGGCATTGCGAACAGACATAAAAGAGACGTAAAAAGATTTAGGTCGAAGACCTCGTCACATCGAGATCGATCGTCGGTGTTTTCGCGTGAGCCTCGCGGGGGAGGCGATCAATGCGTATGTGTACATGTGTGTGTGTGATGTACGTGTGTGTGTACAGGCACTTGAGGTAAAAGACCGCCCGTTCCGGATACGACCAGGCCTTCGAGATCGAACCGCGCTCCTTTTGTAGTCTCTTATTCAGGAATCGAAACCGTGTAATTTCGCCAAGTTCAATTTTCGACGTGAAAGAATAGAAAAGGAAAATGTACCTTACACTAATCGTCCCGCTGTTCTGGTCGGAATAACTACGTCGCGAAACAGGAGACTGAATAAATGAGAAAATGCATTCAATGAATTCTCCCAACGTTAAAGTTAAGAATAACTGTGACTTTTAATTTCCAACGACTTTTAATTTCTGTAACTTCTAGTTAGAGTTTATAATTTTAACTGCTTTCATTTTTTATCATTAAAAAATTATTTTGCAATCTTATTTATTATGGAATATTGTTGGTTTTAACAATTTACTTAAATATTTCAATTGTTCTGCTCGATGTTCAAGAACGGTTTACGTATCTTTTCGCATCAAAATCCAAATTAGTCAAAATTAGACCGATCTCGATTCCTTATCTCATCGCCCGAGATTAGTGATTAATCACGACAGTGGTTATTAGTGATAATTACGACGGTGATAGTGGCTACTGCCGGTAGCGGCGGTTATGGAGACGTAAGAGCTACGGCGATAATAAATTTATAATTATATTGTAAATATGTGTAAGAATCATATAAATCGTAATGATCGCAACACACAGATCATGCGCACACTAAACATGTATCTCAAAAACTAGTCAAGCGAAACTAATGACTGAATAATTTCCCAAAAAAATAAAGATTACAAAAAGTAGATAAACGAATCGAAGGTAAGAGAGGAGAGAAAAATCAGATGCAATTTTCAAAAATTAATCCAACTAAAATATTAATTGGCAGTCGTGTGAGAGTCATCGTATTTCGGATTTTGTTTCGCGATTAGTCGTAGAACCCGACCGTAGAATTACGTAATAAATGTTTATGAGATTTCCACTCTAAATAAACAATTCTTTATGAAGAATATGTAACAATTTTATATCTTATCTTATTATTGCATAAAAGTACACAGGAATATATTGCATGTAAAACAGCAATTTAGAGGATAACAATTGACTACTATTATCCCGTGTAAAAATGCGAAAAAAATTGTCTCCAAGATATATCAATTTCATTACCCGCGTCACGATTTCTTCATTCATTTCTACTCATGGTCACCTATGTTTGCATTGGATATAGTCGGGTTCTAGGATTAAAGTTCCTGGATCTTGTGTGCGTGACGCGACTTCGCGAGGAGTTCTGCTCGCTCGTGTGAAATTCTTTGCCTCGTAAAAGAACATCGCACGAACGCGAATCGTGGATATAAGTGTCGACTTTTACGAAGGAGGAAAATGTCCCACTTCTCAGGCCTCAATAAAAACGGATTTTTTTTTTTTCGTAAAGGCAAATTTCGTCGTTTTTTACGCTATATAACTTTATCAATTTTTTTTCTGATTACTATGATGAATCTATGAATATCCGAATACTTCATCGACCGCATTTGCTTAATGGCTCTATTATTCTTCTCCCTCCCTTTTGTTCGTTAATCAATCTTAGAATGTTCGTAATTAAGTTCTTATAAAAATCAGATCGCAAAAGATCGTGAAAAAAGTTCCATCTAAAAATATTTTGGACGTATACTGATCGGCAAACTTAGTAAACAGCTCTGATGCACCAAACTGTACGTATTCTATGGGACACGATTATTACATTCGTATTCGTGCGTGATTTACGAGTCGTCGCGATTCTAATCGCGACTATTCGTTCCCTTAATATCGATTATATAATATCCTTCCTCTTGGTCGGTAAACTTTGCGAGTGAATAGTAGACAATTCAGGGCAGTAGTACTCTTACTATCTTATAGTCTCACACTCGTGTATAGTCGTAGCTATCCGATATAAGTCGTTAATTTATTCTCGAACCAACCTACATATAGGGAAGCACATTCTTCTTTTATCTATCGATATAACATACCATACAAAAGTTCGTAAACTGCAAAAGTTGACGAAGCGTAGTCGTGACTTATCTTAATCTTTTTAAAAGTGCACAGACCTGACTTTAATTAAGAAACGAAAATTATAACACGCGAAATAATTGTTACAGCACATTCGTTTTGGTTACGTCAATTCTCTTGCACGCCTTTGTTCTCGAGGCGGTGCGAGGGAATATTATCGTTGCGCACTGCGATACCCGTCTCTTACAGAAATTACCAAAGTACAGCCTTAACTTATATATGAGAAAGAAAAATGAAAATAAACGTACCAGTACGTTTATACTAACACGCAGTGAGCATTCAACAAATAATACGTATAAATACACTTCGCATAACGACTTTTCACGTTGTTTCTTCTTAAAGAAACTCACTTGAACGCCATATCTTTACTCTCGGAATGTACCGGCGAACGTATCAATTTATTCTTCGTTGTCGATCGTTTACTGCTAAGTGGATATATAAATGAACAGATACTATCGTGTACAATTGTCCCGCGATTAACTTTCGCCGTCGTGTCTCGCACGAAACCATTTTAACGGAAAACGCTTTCGTATCCGAGATGCCTAGGTAATTCGATCAGATTCGAACGAAACACGAGAGTCGCAGGAAATCACGAAAGAGGGTGTGTTATATTAGTGGAGCGTATGTGTCACTTTCGTCCATCGTGGTGTCTCGCTTGTACTGTCGACCTCGCGAATTCGCCTCGCTTCCTATCGCGTGCGTTCACGACGGAGGGAGGATTAGAGCGCGAGGAGCAAATATCCCTGACGGCGACTCTAAATGGCTAGAGATAGGAGCATTACTGCTGCGGTAATGGCGACGCCGGTCTTGCAAGTATCACCAGCATTAATGTAGTCCATAGTGCCCGTAGATTCTGAATGGATAAAAAGGCTCTGTGTAATAAAAAAGATCTTCCCCGCTTCAAGTATGTCGTCGTCGAGTAAAATATTTTTAATGTCTTTACAAGCCCGCCGACGGTCACCGGGTAGCTTTAGCTAGCTGGTGTCTTGCGCAGGGTCAAGGGATCTGAGGACTTCTTCAAATCCTGTAATCTTGATTAACGCCAGAAGGGCCGGGGACTTGGTACTTTTATAAAAATAACTTTCCATTCGGCGTAAAATAGAAGGCAAGTTATGTAACATGCATAAAAAAATCTCAATCGCGATACCAAAATTCACATTGCGAATATATATATTAACGTAATAAAAATAGTTTATTCCTATAAAAACATACGTTATATCCAAAAATGAAAATGTAAAAGTATTATACACATTTTATAGAATTTTATGGAACACGTAGTTACTTAAAACGAATGGTGTTGAAGTATTTAGCGAGCAAAATAGCCATTTAGGCCTTTCTGACGATTACAAGATCGTTTCCGCCGTCGACAGAACCAATTAGAAAAGTTATTGAGAAAAAATCAATAAAAAAAAAGATAGTCTAACTGAGTGGAAACCTCCTAGACGAGGAAACGAAAGACCTCAAATAACCCTTTTCCCTCCCCCTTGAATGAACAAAAATAGGGGCGACAAACTGACAAACGATTTGAAGAGATCGCGAAGAAAAAAATATTCAGTGCAGTAGCTTCGTGCACATATATATTTCAAAGGGAATTAAATATATCTCGAGTGGAAATCATTACGAAAAATGTAGATACGTCATGACAATAATTATATTGGATCGTAGGAACACCGAGAATTAATTGCGAAGGGCCACTAACTTACCTCTAGCCGTCCTGATCTTGACGTATCCAGGTTTGCCGTAGCCCATCACATTGTGAGCCTGCAGCTCGACTATGTAGTAAGTATCGTATTTCAGGTCCTTGAGGAACTGCCTCGTCCTGCCATGAGATTTGACATTTATCGATTGGCAGGTTTCCTGCAACACTTCCCACTCGTCAACGACATCGTTTATCTGGCAGTATTTGATCAGATACTTGTCTATGGGTTCGCCATTGTCGGGCGGCGTCACCCAGCTCAGCTCATATTGATGACTGTACGGAGACTGTTCGTATTTAGAGCCTGGCGTGGTCAGAATTCTCGGATCTTTCGGCACCGTTCTGCCGGGTGTGATCTCTCGGTGGAAGTTACCAAAGTTACCCAAACCGACCTCATTTCTCCCGGCGAATCGGAAGTCGTAGGGCGTCTGTGGTTTCAAACCCTCGACGACGTACAGAGAACCTAGAAGGCATTGTTTGCGTGAAGTTTAACTATATGTTAATAAAAATTACGTAAAAAAAAACAACCTAGGAAAATAATTAAAATTATAGCATAATTTGACTTTAGCGTATATCTACCTATGACTTTAATGTACGTTTTGTATCAAATAATTTTTTATTGGTTCTATACTTGTAAATAAATATCACAAATTATAAGTTGGATTTCTTTATTTTTTCAGTATATCGTCATAAACAAAAAATTTTGTTTTCTCTAATTAATTCATTACGTATGTATTCAAGAGAAAAATATCGCAATAAATGTTTTCAAATATATCTGAGTTGATTAATTCATTAATTTAAATAAAATTACTTTTTTATGTACATTCGTTAATATAGATTTTTTACAAAAATATTAAGATCTTAACTTTTTTGTCGAACTCATTAAAATTAAAAGAATATATATTTAAGATTTACCGATAGACCACGTTTTGTTCTTCGCATTTTGCCAGGTATGCAACTCTTCTTTGTACTGCACGGTGATAGTGGTTACAGGCAAATCTGGATGTACGGGTGGTACCAGATCGAATCTTATCGTCGTGGCGGTAATTTCAGCCATCTTGACGCTCAAGAGCTCGCTGGGTTTCGCCGCTTCCCTCAGCTCGATTATATGCTCCCGCGTGCCGTGAGGATTCATAGCGATGCATTTATAATGCGTGTAATATCTCCGGTCGATCGGTCTTATTTGGAGAGTGGAAACCGGCCCGTTACCAATCTGCTCGATATAAGCGTCGTTGTCGATCTTCTGCTCATGCAAGGTCCAGCGTATTGTCGCGTTCGGTATGCTCTCGGCGATACAAGTGAGATTAACTGGTCGCGATTCCCAGGACCAGAACGTCATATTCGGCATGTTGCGGAAGGAGGGCGGAAATTCCACAGTCAAATGACCATTCTTGTAGGCGACGCCACCGGTATTTTCCGCCACACATTCGTACAGGCCATCGTTGTCAGTGAGAACGTCAGTGATTGATAGGATGCCAACGGTCACGTCGCTAGACATGTCGTCTGGTTTGTTTCTCACGATGATCCGGTCATCTTCCGACTGAGCGCCATCCGCGTATGGTTTGTCGAGAGTGAGTTTCCTGAAGCTCACCTTGGGTGATGGTCGACCGAAAGCCTTACATTGGATTTCCACACTTTTGCCCTCCACCACGGTCTTGTTCATGAACTCCATGATTTTCGGTTTGATGATCACATTTATTTGGGTGGTGGCAGTAGCGGTACCTGCGGCGTTTGTCGCCATGCATTGATACTCACCCGAGTCTTCGCGGTTCACATTTGTGATGGTGAGTATACCCGTGACCGGATCGACACCGAAGCGATCGGTAATCGACAGATTCTGTTGGGTTAGAGACTTAACCCAAGTGATTACTGGTGGTGGCTTGCCAGTGCCATTACACCTAATGTCTGCGTTTTCGCCTTCGATGACGTCTATTGGTTTCGGAAACTCAGTGATCGCAGGTCGTATGTGTACCTAATAAAAATTAACAAAGTTATTGATAAAAAAAATTTTTAAGAAAAAAATACACACAGATTTAAATTTTTAAGCAAATGATCTCTAAAAATTATTAGCAATTAAAAAATATATTAACAAATTAATAGTGTGTTAATAGAAATTAAAAGTTGTAATATTGTTATAATAAAACCATTAAAGTATGACAAATAATAAACATATCAAACAAATGTAATGTAATAATTATTCAGTTCATAGAAAATGTTTATAAGTTTCTCTGAAATAATTTACAATTTTTTTAAATCAATGCAATTTAATGAAGATACTAATTGTAGTACCTCAACGCGGATAGGTCGCTCTTGCAATTCTCCTGTGGTCTGTACCGATGCCCGACATGTATATACACCATCGTCCTGCTCTTGAACATTCTTGATCTTCAAGGAGTAAGTGTTTATGATATAGTGATCATTCGTTTTGATGAGTTCTCCGTCGAAAAGCCAATCGACCGAAGGCGATGGCCTAGCACGTACTTGACAATGAATATCAAAGTCTTCCCCAAGAATGGGATACTGATTTGGCGGTGCATTCTCCCACGTGATCGCAACTATTAATCACAAATCGGAAATTTTGTTTGGAAAAATATTGTGACATATACATATATCAATCTCTCGAAAGGAAAACCGTGCATTTTGTTTAACTAATTTCAAATCTATTTAGATTTAATAAAAACTGATAATTTTACTGTATATCTTATAATTAGATATAATTCATCTGTCTATCAGGAATATTAACTAGAACGAAATATCCATTATTTGATATTCTATATCTGCCTTATTAAAAAGTTATACACGATTTCCAATGACATTTTATAAAGTTCTTTGATCATTTCATCGTGATATTAATTAAATATCACGTTCAATGTACCTCGCTAGGAGATATTTTATTCTGTATTGGAATAAGTTCATTTAAAAATTAAAATGCGGTAAGACTTTTAATTCTATACTCACTAATAGTACCGATTGTCACAGACTTGCTTAACTGCATATTACGTGCATAAGTCCCTTTGCATATGTACGGCCCAGCCTGTTCCTCCTGAAGGGAATTAAAGTATAGGGACAGTCTACCATCTTGGTGCAATTCGGTGTATCTGGCTGGCTTCGAATTAGTATTCCCTTTTTGGCTGTGGAGAATGACATCACAATTTGCAAAACAATTCGCAATATCGGTTAAAGCGCACCAAATTGATGGCAATGATCAATGACATCGCATAACGATATTGCGTTCATATACATGTTCTTCGTGAATGACGCGAGAATGACGTGTAAACGACAACGAGACGCATTCACATGACCTCATATTATTCAACATTGCACAATATGACATAGAGCGTATCGATGTATGATGCGAGTATATATGATATGATATATTCAAGCAATTTCCATATAGTATATCGGACGACGAGATGCCGGATGTAATATCGCGTGACGTTGACTATGAAGGTTACGAATATGGATTCTGCGGATTAAGAAGATGGCTATAGAGGTGATAGGATCAAAAGCGTGGCTGTTGTGAGACCGCGTTTCCGTCTTCAGAAAATGGAAAATCAAAACAAGTTTTTATATCTCGAATAAATATGGGAAATATCGTAAATGTCCAGAAATTAATTCGTTATCGTGAAGCAGCTGAGAATATTATGATAATTACATAAACATAAATGCAAACAATGATGATTGACATGAAAAATCTTTAAAAAATAATACGATACTACTACTGACAGTCCATCAATTATACAGAGCGATTGAAAAGTCCCGATAAAAAAATTTTTATATTTATATAGGTTTTTTTTTTTTTAAATAAATGGCACGTGAATATTTCTGGTTCAATTTGTCTGTACGTATCGATTCTCGTAACAGCCTGTATTAGTGTAATGGCGCTATGGAGAACATATAATTGAGTGGCGCAAATTGCTCGAATCGGGGCGATTTTGTCCGGGAATGTCACACACGGCACTCTTGACGACGAATGTACTTAATTATGCAAATCGTACTCGGGGATCGAGTAATCGTGCAAACACGCGACACGACGAATCAGTTACTAGGGTTAACGTTCGTTAGATTATTTGATCGCTGGATTAAATACTCTGCAGTATGAGCGACACGCGGTACATATATTAGCTGTTAACGATATCGACAGACTTGCACGAATAAAGACATAAATATTGCAGATGAGAGTGAAATAATGTTTTGCGAGTCTGCACAAAATTGCGCCATTATAGAGCTGCTTAATTACTGCTGATGCACATAGTCACATACACATGCGCAGTGCCCTAGAAATATTGTGTTACGTTTTTAATCCTGTGAGCTCGAGTAGTTTAATTATAAAGCTAGTTAACATCCAAAACTAGAGAGCTTGAGCAAATAAACATAAAAAATTTAAACAAAAGGTTTTAAATTTTATTTTGAAACAATATGTTAAAAATTCACGTATCGTCAAAATCGATTTTTTCTTTCTCTTGCAATAAACGAAATCGAATTTGAATTATTAACAGAGAAATTAAAAGAACAATGGCTCTAGGTTATTCGGTATGCGTGAACGTGTAAACGAAAAATTCGTTACATGCACTTTTTTCTGGCCAACGAGTTTCCTCGTTTTGGTATATGCGGGCGTTCAATAAGTCAGGTTTAGTACGACCGACCGTTCGAAACTTTTCCGGCTTAACGAGCAATAGCCGGTTCGCGAACTGCAATCGGTTCGCATTGCAGCAATTAAGAGCTCCATGGCGCGGACTACGGGAAACGTGGTTACATCGTGGGAAAATGATTGTATCGAACTCGGGGCGAAGTGACGGGTGAACGTGCCCGCAAATGAGAAAGGTGGAAACAGGGAGGAGCAACAAACGAACGAGCTACTACTATGGTTGCATGTTTAGATCTTCAATAAGTTTTATACTCGCCTTTCGAGCGGTACGACGGCGTACCTGTGTATGCATTACAAGTGACAGAAATTCGTGAATTAGTATTACAACAAGCTTCTCTCCTGATTGTGTTTAATGTGTATTTTTGTACTGTTAAATTAAATATTTTTTTCGCTTGTAATTTGTGCTTATCTATAGAGATTTATGATTTATGTGATAAATAATTATTAAAATTTACGATTTTATTCTACGAAATTACTAGAGACATGACGTGTAATATTATTATTAGATTGTAATATTTTACTCATGATCTTAATCGAAAGAAACGCCGTTTCAAAATTATTTTAATAATTCATTACATTTTACTTCTCAATTAAAATAAATTTCGCAAGTACTTTAACGAAGCACGACATGAAATGCATTATTCTCTGGAATTGATTAATACAGCAATTCATGTAAATATCAACGATACAAAAGTGTTTAGATTCATTATTCTTATAATTGCTTGTAACAACTCTTCAGAAAATGATCATAGCACTAGCGGTGTTGCAGCTTATATCTCCGATTAATTAAACTGTCATCTTCTCAATTGCTAATTATAATATAGATAGAGAAGCCATTGACTTGATCACTTTTGAGTCATCTTGAAAATATTATTTCTATAAGCAAAAAGGAAGAAGAGATGGTCGGTGTGTAATCGACTTACTTGAGAGACTCAATCACGCGATCTTGCGGATCGATCCATTGCATCTGAGAAATAAGTGACGGATCGTCTACCTTCGGTTTACACGTGAGGATGATGCTGGAGCCGATCGGCTTTGTCTGCGTCTCGCCGTTTGGTAAAATTTCCAAGTACGGATCAACTGCGTTCGCGTAAGCTGCAACAAGAAAAAATCACGAACGTTATTATGCTGACAAGACGAGTGTGTGCGTGTATACATGTTTTTGCATGCGAAACGATCGCAGTCGCTAGGGAACGACGGAAAATAGTGATTTCGATAATGATATAGTTAACGGAGTAATATAATGATCATCCTAATAATTATACCTGTAATTTATTTTTTGCATAGATGATGCAAAAAGTACAAGAGCGGATACTTATCTTAAATGTGCAACTTTTAGTTACAAAAACATAATTTTAAAGCTTCTATAATTTATAATTGAATATATATTCTAATTTATAATCATAATTACTTGTATATGAAAAATTATGCTAAAGTAGACAATAAATTGTTGAGTTTATCATATTTTTCAATCGATTGTTTTGATTATAAGTTTAGTTAAATTTTAATTCCTTTCTTTTCCAGAATATCAAAACACTCAATATTATTTTTTTTTAAATGTGTATATAGTATATATCAATTAAAATATAATAATGGAAGAAATAATTATTTACTAATATTCCAAACTTCCAAACATTTTTTCGAAGGAAGAGAATAAAATTCAGATAGGGCCAAAAACCAGTCTTATGACCCTCTTTCTTTTTGTCGAATTACATTCATTACAAAATACTGAGCAAATAAAGATTAATCTGTACGTTATTTCTTAAGATCACACAATTTGAAATAACTCCCCGGAGAGATAATCCCACGTGGTTACAATCTCTCTTACCTACACGAGTGGGACGAGGCGACACCGCCTCCGGCAGCGGGGGTGGCGGCGGCGCCGTCATCACGTAAATGCACAACACGGAGAGGCAGATCGGCGACGTCTCGACGCTCATGATTCGCGTAGCGCAACAGAAAGCGCCTTCAGGGACCGAGATGCGTACGTGAACTATGACAACGGTATGTGAGCGTCGTCGGAATGCAGGCGTACGCGACGGGTGCCCTCGGCGTCAACACGACGCGACTCAGCGTAGTGGCAGACATAACAGGAAGCGGGAATTGAGCTAATTAATTGCGGCGAGCGAAAGTGCGGAATTGCCCTAACTGGGAAACGTTCCGTGACCTCCTCCTCGTCCTCCTCCTCTTCCTCTTCTCGTCATCCGGACGTAAACTGCATCAGCGGCGTAATGCAGAATAGATGCTAGCCTGTTCTCCCCCCCCCCCTCTCTCTCTCTCTCTCTCTCTCTCTCTCTCTCTCTTTCTCTCTCTCGGCGCCAGCTCTGCAAGCTCATTAGCTCGTTAACTTCGCGCACGTAAAGCTCGGGCTACCTGACGAGTGGAAATGACTGCGCAAGGGAATCATTATCGAATTTACGGCGAGCCGGTAGCCGCAACTAGAACTACTCGTTAAGTCCGTGGGAATTTCTCGAGTGGCGTGGAAAAGCGCCGATTCGTGATTACATGTGGTTAACTATGGAGCTTAAAGTGCAACGAATGCCCACAATTGACGGTCGATTTCCGTTTCACGCGGATTAAGTGGGACGATAAAGGATTTGTGTTCACATTGTGTCGGCAGCCAATCGCTTCCTGCACAGGTGCAAGTTACCACCGATTGTCAAATTGACAGCACGAGCGTTTTACAGGAGAAAAATCAAACAGTCAGTAAAAAAAAATAAAATATATATGTATGTATGTATTCCGATGCAAGCACAATGCGATGAGTGAGCCGTGTAATCGAAATACGGGGCCAGTTCGCCTAAATAATTCTCTTTTTTTTTTCACTGGGTGCAAGAGCGCACCGCTGTGTAACAGTTGATCTCGTAAATACTGAAACCGCGGAGCGGTGGTGGATGTTGCGAAAATAATTGAATACGGATTAAAAAAGCGGGCTCGAGATAGTGAACCAAGCTACGCTGATGCGAGCAGCTCGCGTGTGACGCTGATCGCGTCTGACGTAATCGACAATGGCACGAAAATTGAAACCGCCGCAAATTGCCGGCGGAAAAAGTCGATCTCTTCTGTTCCCGCACAACGAAAAACTTCCGTGCCATTTCTGCTGTTGGTAGATGTCAGAAGAACAAACAAAAATATAGTATAAATTTTAAATAAAATTCGAAGATGTCCCAAAAAATGACTAGACGCGTTACATTCTGCCTTTCATCTAGCTACCATCTGTAAAATTTATTCTCGATGGCTCAGTTTTCTCAAATTATATTTCTAAATATATGTTTGTTCAGAAAATAATCGTCTCATGTAAAAATAAATCCTATATCAGATTTTGTCTTTGTCGTTAAATTAATTCTATTTTCGGTATTATTTTTATCTTTTGAATAAATTACCATTTATTTTAATTATACTTTTATCATTAAATTTGAAGTTTCGTTACTTAAAAGATATCTTCGGCAAAATCTGTGCGAGATGATTATTTTATCGCGGATAATGCAAATGCATCGTTCGAGAAACCGAGGAGAGACTCGTTAATTTCTGTAATAGTCCGCGTAAGGACGCGGAAAGGTTACAAACCTTCCCAACGGAGGAACTTCCTTAATTGGCCTAAGACCCATCGGGGATGAGTTCTTGCGTGCGGTCAATTAAAGGATCTAGCCAGCGTTTCGCTTTGGTCTGCCCCCTCTCCTCCCCCTCTTAGCAAACTCGGAAGGATTTTAAGCTGCTTTTATGACATCTTTCTATATACAAGAACGATCTATCAGATTCAACTACGCAATGGAGTACGACAATCATCAAGCAGGCGTAATAAATATTTTGCGATAAACTTCTAACAAAAATTAAAAAAAAAACATTTATTTTACGTTCCTAATTAAATCTATGACTTCTTTTTAAAAAGACTTTTTCAGGAGCTTTCAGCTGGCTGTAAATTCCTATTGACATAGTTTTTCAAATACCAAAGCATGTTTTTTTTATATATAAATGGAAAGCACGGATTCTTCACTCATATTCTGTTAAATTGATTTCGATTTCAATAAATAAATATAATAAAGATCTGTGAATAAAAATCTGTGACTTTATCAAATTTCAATTAATAATTCACTATATTTTTTTCAGATTATTCATTGTAATTAAACTGTAGGTATTTCATTAAACTAGTGCCTGTATGCTTGTAGAAATTAACATTCACATTCCAACTTTAATGTGAACGATAGTATGCGAAGTACTTCTCTTCGTTTTCTCGAAAATTCACACGTAAGAGGTCGAGCTTACAAATTGCGATAAGTTTCAACGGTACATTCAAGTTGAAGTCTGTATCTAGGGGGGAGGAGCATCGTGATAAGACACTGCAACGTTCGCTTAACGCCACCGACATTTGCATCGCAAAGTTTGCTTAAACTTTGAACTGGGTGAATGGTGAGAAATGTGTTAAATCCTCCTAGTCGTCGCTAATTGTCTCCGACCGTGCATTACATACAATAGCCACAATCAACCAGCAGTCGTTTTGATTAATAGCTCGACTTTAACCTGAAAATATGCTTTCGTTCTGCTATCGAGCCCTCGATCTAGGACATAATATTTCGAAACATAATGGGGATTATAATTTTGGCCAGCTGTCATTTCGGTAGCCTATGTGCACAATGACTGAACTCCCTACAAGAGGTGTAATTCTGCTCTCACGGTTCCGTCATTTCCGATAAGAGATTTCGTAATCAAAAGAGGGAGAGTTGCTAAAGATTACGTCCCCAGGAGCATTGTCTCTCGCTCGTAAAGACAGCTTATTTATTTGCCGTTCTTGCACTGTCATGAAAGTCGTTTCTTCCTCGCGATAAGACTCGCAAATTCATCATTTCCGGCCCGCTTAGGCGAATGGGCAGGCGAGGGGTTAAGTTAAAGATTTTCCTACAGTCACTTGGGCATCGCAAAATGTTTCACAAGGGGGCCAAATGAGCAGACGGTCCCCCTCGAACAATGGCAAGACATAAATCGCAATTATGTTTCCGGCGGACTGAACTTATTCGATTTTATCTAATACGCTGAGAAATTTTCAGTGATGAAAGTATTCGATCAAGTTACGAGTTATTTGATATTAGAGACTGCCATCACAGAATTAAATTTTTTTTCACAATTACAATTTATATTTTACATGCATTTGTACTATATTATTATATAAGACATAAATAAATAATTTTTAAATATATAACTACGTATAAATAATCTGTAAATACAACTGTTTCAAGAAAAATATACTTCTAGATATATTTAAAGATATAGATACTTACAATTTTTGTCGATTTTTGTATTGTAATAATCATTTTTATAAACATTCATATTAAAAACAAATTAATTGTAATTAAAACACAATTCAATTATTTACCTACGTTTATATAACATGTATCTAATTCTAAAAAAATATTTATAATAAGATAAATCTTGTTATAATTTAATACAAAAAAATAAATACATATAGTCTCTTAATTGCTTCTTTGATAGATACCTACTCAAAAAACATGTTTGTCTGCATTTCGTGAAGAGAAATCATCACGATCGTATAAAAAAAAGCGCTGATATCACGATATATTATTATTGTAGGAAACAACACTATCATTAATTGCTCGTTAATGTTGTATTCAAAATGCATCCATCATTACACGAGAAAGGAAATCTGCCAGTTCATCGTCGCGATGCGCATTATATCGTCGTACGAAACTCATTCGGCATGAACCGCCGAAGAGAGCAACAATACGGAGGGTTGTTCCTGGAGATCCCCATTCTCGGCCTACACCTCCGCCGCCCCTCGAGGGCATGCGCTCGGGCAGATTCTATAATCGTTTCACAAATTCGCCCGAGTCACCACGCTCCGCTTCTTCTCACTACCCCGCGTTTACAACGGTGTACCGCATCAACCATTATCCACCCTTGAGACTCGCAAATTCATCGTTTCCGGGGCGCGTACCGCGTGTTCATCCGTGGGGGAAGAATATACGAGGGACGCGACAGGACTTCTCCCAAAGATTTTCGCGAAGAAATGCCGTAATTGACTGGGTTCATTGGAGTCGGCTTTGGTCGGCGCGCGAAATTGGTACATTGATGATGTATACTGA